TTAATGTTAAAAATTAGAGTTTCTAAATAGTTTATGAACTAATGGAAGATTAGTGGTGAATTTAAGTGAGTTTAAGTGAGGTGGCACTTGTGGGGCCCACTCTCACTTAAGTGACTAAATGAGCACATGTTCAAATTCATTTTAAAACATCATCTTTCTCCTTGATTCAGCCAAAAAACGCAGCCTCCCCCTCCTCCACCATTGAAGAAAATAGTTAAAACTTGATAAATTCATAACTCAAGCTACACTAAACGAAATTGAACGATTCCAAAGCCAAAGTTGCTTGATTTTTTTCGTGGAACAAAATCTCTACCTCATTTTCGGGGTAGGAGCATTGTGGAATGAGATATTCCTCCAAGAAAGTTGCGAATTTTTGAGAAAAATGGAGACATTGGTGGTTGTTTGCTTGATTGGTTGCTTGGAGGACATTCATTGGAGGCTTTAAGCATTGATTTGTGGTAAGTTTCACCACCTATTGTGGATTAATTGTTGAGATCAAATTTTGAAAACCTAGAGCATGTGTTGTGTGATTGATGTGGTTGGAGACTTTAAATTGAAAATGTGTATTAGATAAAAGTGTCTTAGAATGAAGTTTTAGAGTGATTGATGTCATAAAATTATTGATGAATTTATTGGTAACTTAGTCAAAATTTGGAATGGATGATTCAACACTTTATGAAATGACTATGTGGGATGATTGTGTAATTGAGTTGTGGAGTGTTTGTATGAGTTAAATATAGGATTGTAAGGTGTGTGGAAGTATTAAATTGGATTGAATACCCTTTGGTTTGTGGGAATGTTGAATTCGGCCTAGAGAGGGAATATAGGGTGTGATGTTGGAAAATTGTGTAATTGATGTGTTGTGGTGTTAAATGATGTTTAGAGGTGTTGTGTGATGGGTTGATGCATTGGAAATTAAAGGGAAAATACTTGGAGTGTGTGAGAGTGTCCATTGGACCTAGAAGGAAATAATTGGAAAAATGATGTTGTGATGGTGTAGGATGGAAGGTGGGACCTAAAATGGTGTTGTGGTAGCCTTAAGATGCTAAAAAAAAATTAAAAGAAAATGTAGAAAAATATTTTGGGAAAATAGCCTATGTTGGCCGAACCTACCATGTGGTGGGCGAGAATTTTGATGTTTTGTAATCTTGGTGAATTTCACCTTGTATTGATGATCCTTGTGTGATCATTGTAGGTTGCCTCCCTCGAAATTGAACTCATAACCGTGAGCTTGGTGGGTTGCCTTTGGTCTCGGACCAAAGGTATTTTGGTAAGTGGTCTTGAACTTATGCATATATGTTGGTTGGTTGGTATTGAGATGGAAACGACCTATGTGTAGGCATTTCTGGTGAACCAAGCTTGGTGATACTGTGTTTGGGAGCTATCAAGCGGAGGAGATTATTCAGGTAATCCCTTAGTACTGGGGTTTGTCCCCGTGTGTGCTCCACCGTTCCCGTTGAGGGTTGTGGTTGGAGGTGTATGTGAATAATGTAGTATAACATGTTCATGCATTATTGTATGTTTAGTGGTACATAGGTTGTACCGAGTCTCTGGCCAGTAGACAGTTGCCTTCAGGCGTTACGGACTTCCACTGGATAGATCTCCATGAGGGAGGGAGTTCCAGTTGACCTGTAACAGCCCGTTGTACACCGGTATTGTTAACATCAATTATGATATTAAGCGCAGTTACAATCACAGCAATTCATTTATAAAAATGCGAGTAAAATTTTTCCGTGTTATTACGCGAGCATTTAAAACAATAATAAAACATAATAATTAAAAGCTATGACCGTAACTGTAAACTCTTTGCAGAATAATTATTTAAACTACTTTTATATCATATATTACTTCTCTCAAGTCACCAAGGGGTTCCCATAAACCCACTTAGCTAAAATCCCACTTTTACGTTTTCTACCTTTCCGAACATGGTTCGTTCTTTTGATTTCTACGGACAAACTGCATTCTACAAGCCTCTCATCTTTTAGTATGTTATTCTAGACTTAATTACCTTTCTAGGAAGCTATCTCACGAGTCATAAAGTTCTCGTTTGCTCTGGATATCTCTGTTTAAAGTCGGATAAGCAAATCTGCCAGCCAACCTCAAACCGGTTTCAAACAGCCTTGACATATCATACACCTAATTTGACCAAGGAACGAAGCAGGAATAAATTTCTCAAACTCGCACCAGAACAGCCACAAGAGCAGTGGCCATATGAGCAGTCCGTGCTCTCTGCCTTTTACAGGACGACGTGCAACGCAGAAAATTTCCAAATTTTAACACAAGATATAAGACATCACAAGCTTTAAAATGGTGTATGGCACGTACCTACCAAACTACTGCGGAGGGAGATATGCTCTCCCAAAGTTCACCTAAATTCTGCCAATTTCTAAAAATTTCGCGAGAGTTTCCTTTGTTTTTCCAATAAATCCCATATTTGCAAATGTGTTCTCTAACCTCAATTTGTACCTAATAATCATTGGGTGGCACACAAGGACCTGCAATGCCTTGGTGCTCTTACAAACCTTCACAATTTATATCCAATTTAATCATTATGCATAATTCATGCTTACTTTCTGAAGTTAATCAATTTCAATCACAATATTCATTTTCATGCTACTTGCAACATAAATCACTCCTAGAATAGGCCTATTGCCATTTCATCATATACATATACTTCCATATTTCATCAAGTCTTGATATACAATTTACAACTTCTCCAAATGACATATTACAATTTACAACCCATAACTTTCAAATAAAACATAAGAATTAACCATTAAACTTAGCCAAAAGAGACATGAACAAAATGACAATATGAATGGTCCTATCTAAACATAGTGTTCATGTCCTAAGTCTAACCTAGGCCCAATGGCCACCAAAATACAAAATAAGTAGAATCCTCATGCTCAAGCGATGGGCTTCTTGCCTGCCGCCCGACACCACTGCTACCACCTGAAATAAAGTTCCCAAAGCGGGATGAGATATACGGATATATCTCAGTAACCTAGAGGTTCTGGAGAATACTCCACCCCATGGCTCACTTCGATGCATATAAACAATATAACATAACATCTGAAAACGGGATAAAGCAAGGGATTTAGTGAAGTAGGGAAGCATAGGGAACAAAATACGACGAATCTGGAATGGTCAATGCCAAAACCACGCAACGTCCAGCCTATTGGCCTCGGCATATAGCCTACGAGTTTCAAACCAAGGAGTGTTCCCAGAACATCAACCAAAGCACCCTCCATCCATATCCACCCGAGACTTCCTAGTGTGCTCCTCTACGGATCACACACCACGACCCTAGGTCAACTGGAACTCCCTCATGGAGACCTATCCAGTGGAAGTCTGTAACGCCCGAAGGCAAACAGTCTACTGGCCAGAGACACGGTACATCCTATGTACCACAACACATACAATATACATGAGCATGTTATCCTATATTATTCACATACATTTCCTACCATTACCCTCAACGGGCATGGTGGAACACATACGGGGATCAAACCCTAGTACCAAGGGATTACCTGAATAATCCCCTCTACACAGCTCCAATGTAATACTTCCTAAGCTAGGTACACAAATAGAAATGCCTACACATAGGACATTCCCAATTAATTTCCATTCACTAAACACATGCAAGTTATCAATTCTACAAGCATGGTTCAAGAGTACTTACCACAATCCCTTTGGTCTGGGACCAAGGGCAACCCACCGAGCTCACGGTTCAGGGTTCAAATTCGCGGGAGGCAACCTACAATGACCATATACAGATCATCAATATACGGTGGATCCACAAATTCCACGTTGGATATGAGGGTCTCCACTTAGTTTGTTTTGCTTGTGGAAAGTATGGGCATAGAAGGGATCAGTGTTCCCATAGTAATCTTCAACAAGATATTACGGGTTATTCTCCTGAAGTTTCTGACTCGGTGGTGCATAAGCAGCCGGAAAAAGCTTCTGTTCCAGCGAAGGAGGAACCGTTTGGGAATTGGATGCTGGTGCAGCGTAATCGTCGATCAAGGAGCATAGCACAATCAAAGGAGGAATCAAGGAGCATAACACAATCAAAGGAGGAATCAAGGAGCATAGCACAAAGGAGGAATCATTACCATCGGGTAGGAGACAAGTTGGCGTTGTTAACAATGCAGCGTTACGTAATAAGGCAGTTTCCAATTCTGATCCTAATCACAGACAAGTCATTCAATCAGGTTCAAGATTTCAAGCTATTGCTGAGTTGGCTCAAAAGGATAATAATATCTTAATTATTTCTGATTCTCCAGTGATTGATTCAATCAGCATTGAATCTGGTCTGACACGAATTAATCATAGGGAATTAATTGCTCGTAATGAAGAACCGTTGGTGAAAAAGGATATTCAAATGGAAACAGTTTCTCCATCTGCTAACCTATCTGCAGGAAAGTCGAGAAAAGAGGTCCAAAGTCAAGGAGTAAAATTCAAAGAGAACCAAAAGAAGAAAGCAACTGCATCATCTGCTAAAGTTCATCAGCTGGTCCAGAATGCTAATATTAGCAAAGGCAGATTAAATGCTTCAAAAGGTGCAGAATCTCAAAAGAATAATTTTAAACTTGATTCTCAGAATAATATGTCGGAGGATTTCCGAGATAGACAAATTGTCTTGCACCCTTCTTTATCTAAATTCCAGAGGAAGACGTCTCATGTGGTTAATGATCAGCAAGAGACTCTTCCTTCTTCTAGTGGCCTGGATAATGAAGGTAAACATGGAAGACCACCAGATGCTCTTACGTTAATGAGGAATTTTTATCAAACTCACAAGGATTCTATCCCTTTGGATAATTTGGACGTTTTGGGTGCGACTTCGGTCTATACCAATGCTCTTTCTTAGGGCCGGTTTCTGTTCGGATAAATTTAATATTGTTTTTATGAATATTTTGACCTGGAATTGTAGAGGGGCTGGGAGAAGGAGTTTTCCGCCTCTGATTCGGGATCTTTCTCATAGATACAGTATTATAGTTATGGCTTTGTTAGAAATCAAATTGAGTGGTGTTACGGCGGATAGAGCTATTCGGCGTCTTGGTTTTTCTGGTCACTTTCATTGTGATGCTATTGGTTTTTCTGGCGGTATTTGGGTGCTTTGGAACACTGAGGAAGTTTCAGCGGATGTTCTTTTTTCTCATCACCAACTTGTTCATACTAAAATTTGTTGGGTAAAAGAAAATAGAGAGGAGTTCATGACTTTTATTTATGCAAGTTCGCAAAGACAGGAACGTATTCAGCTGTGGAAAATTCTGTCTTCACTGTTTGATCAGTCCATGAGGAATGCGGCTTGGGGGATAGCAGGTGATTTTAACACTTATTTGTATGAGTATGAGAAGCTAGGTGGTAATGGCATTAACTGGAATAGCATGAGGGAATTTCGTGACTGTTTAGATGAATGTAGCTTGTCTGACATTGGCAATCAAGGTCCTACTTTTACTTGGCAAAGAATAAATCTTCAGGAACGTCTTGATAGGGTTTGCGCTATTTATAATTGGAACTTGGTTTTCCCTAACCGTGTGGCTTTGTTTGGCTCAGATCATCGACCAGTGTTATTATGGGAAGGTCAACCTGCTATTTATCCGAGAGGGGAGCGTCCTTTCCATTTTCTAGCATCCTGGTTAACAAAGAGAACTTTTCATGAGGTGGTTAATGGATGTTGGTCAAACAATGTAAACTGGATGCATGCTATGGAGACATTTCGGATTAATGCTTCGGAATGGCATAGAAATGTTTATAGGATTGGTATGAAAATATAGAATGATTTGCATGCAAGGATTAGAGGTATTGATAGATGTCTTAGTTATCAGTACAATCATAGCCTTGAGATGTTGCAAAAGGATCTATGGAGGGAACTAGACAAGATTTATCTTCAAGAGGAAATCACTTGGTTTCAAAGATCGAAATTGAATTGGTTTGCTCTTGGAGATAGGAACTCGCGTTTCTTTCATTCTATGACGGTTGCCAGACGTAGGAGGAATCACATAGATACGTTGAAAAACTCGGAGGGAGTTTGGATTGGTTATCAGCAGGTTTTAATGGAAATGACTGTTTCCTTCTTTGAAAATCTGTACACAAAAGATCCATTACCTAAACCGGCTTTTCCAGTTCGTGGCTTTTTTCCAGTTATTGAAGCGCATGCTTTAGAAACAATGAGTATTATGCCAAACAGTAAGGAGATCAAAGATGTAGTCTTCTCTTTTGGTCCTTACAAGTCGCCTGGGAAGGATGGGCTTAATGCACTTTTCTTTCAATCTCAGTGGGATAAGGTGGGTGAGTCGGTTATCTCTTTTGTGAAAGGTGTGTTCCTTTATCCGGATAATATCAAAGAGGTTAAACTAACTTTGATTTGTCTGATTCCTAAGATTGATGTGCCTGAATTACTTAAAGATTTCAGACCTATTAGCCTTTGTAATGTTATTTACAAGACTGTAACTAAGATTGTGGCTAATAGGCTGGAATCTCATATGGCTCACTTGGTTATGCCTAATCAATGTGGTTTTATTAAGGGTAGACAAGGAGCGGATAATATCATTGTGGCTCAGGAAATCATCTATTCCATGAATAAAAAGAGAGGAGGTAAGGGTTGGATGACTGTCAAAGTTGATTTAGAAAAGGCTTATGACAAGATTTCTTGGGAGTTTCTGAAAGACACGCTTGTGGATGTTGGTTTACCTGAGAATATCATTTCTCTGATCATGTGTTGTGTCTCGTCATGTACAATGAATTTGTTATGGCATGGATCAACTACGATGGAATTTTCTCCTAATCAAGGTCTTCGTCAAGGAGATCCTTTGTCTCCTTATCTTTTCATCCTTTGCATGGAAAGACTTGCTCATTTGATTAATGTAACAGTTCAGGAGGACGTTTGGAAGCCTATCAGATTGAATAGAAGGGGACCACTGTTTTCCCATCTATTTTTTGCAAATGATCTTCTGCTTTTTACAGAAGCCACATAAGGGCAAGCTGTTATTATTGGTAAGATTCTTGATTGTTTTTGCAGGTGCTCTGGTGAGAAGGTTAGCAAGGAAAAAACAAAAGTCTTCTTCTCCAGAAACGTTAATCATACCCGAGTGCATAATCTAAGCCAGTTGATGGGCTACTCTCTTACAAATGACTTGGGTAAATACTTGGGTATTCCTCTTTGTCATAGCCGTGTTACAAAGAGTACGTTTGGCTATATCTTAAATCGGATGCAAGCTCGTTTAAATGCCTGGAATCAACGTACTATTTCATTGGCAGGAAGATCAACTTTGGCTAGGTCAGTTCTTACTGCAATTCCTCAATATCCTTTGCAAACTTGTATTATTCCTAGTGGTACGTGTGATCATATTGAGAGTGTAACTAGGAATTTTATTTAGGGATCAACTTCTGATCAAAGGAAAGCTCACCTGGTTTCTTGGGAGACGGTCTGTTTGCCGAAGAATGTAGGGGGCTTGGTTTTCGTAAAATTAAAGAGAATAATATGGCTTTTATCATAAAGCTAGGTCACCGTATCATGACTGATCGTAATTCGTTATGGGTTCGGGTCCTTCGTAGCAAGTATAAGGTGGAGGAGAGGCTCATTCCAAGTATCTCGGCTTCAGCAAATGATTCTGGTTTATGGAAGGCTATTGTTAAGTATTGGACTCAAACTCTAGAGAATTCTCGTATCATTTTAGGGGATGGGGTTCATACATCTTTTTGGATGGATTCGTGGGTGCCAGGATGTCCTCAACTTGTTTCTTTGGTCGTTCAACCTATTCCTCCTATTATGACTCATTGGTCTACGTCTCAATTTGTAACTTGTTATGGTAATTGGGACTGGCCTTTATTCCAGCACCTTCTTCTTTCTTCAGTATCAGACAAGATTCGTAGTGTGCTCCCTCCTACAGTGGATCCTTCTCCGGACCGTGTTATTTGGGCAGTAGCCAAGATGGGGTTTTTCAATGAAATCAGCTTATAAATATCTCATGGGTACCTCACATTATCATCAGGATAGTATTTGGAAGGTAATTTGGGCTTGGCCTGGTCGTGAACGTATTAGACAATTCTTATGGCTTCTCTACAAAGGTTCTCTTTTAACTAATGTTCGTAGAGTGCATCGTCACATGGCTATAGATGCAGCGTGTTTGAGATGTCATTATAATCTTGAGGATAGTTTACATGCCATTAGAGATTTCCCTAGTGCCAGGGAATTATGGGAGCATTGGGTTCCTTCTGATAACCGTAGTGACTTTTTCTCCATGGATCTTCACCTATGGATTCAGAAAAATCTAGGATTAAAAGGTCCATTTCAAACTGATCGAACTTGGCCTTTGTATTTTGGGGTGATAACTTGGTGTTTATGGGGGAGAAAGAAATAAGGCGATCTTTGATCAAACTAGCACCTCGAAGTATGGTCTCATTAGGCGCATTACCTACACTTGTGGTAATATTCAATTGGCTAATGAAACCCTTATTAAGATTGGTCATCAAGAGCTTAGAAGAGAGAAACGTCTTATTCACTGGAATTTTCCCTCTGAGGGTTATGTTAAACTTAATGTGGATGGTTCCAGCATATACAGTGGGCAAATGACTGCATGTGGTGGAGTCATAAGGGATGCTGCTGGGAACTGGTTAACTGGGTTTACAAAATTCCTTGGGAGTAGTACTTCTACTTCAGCAGAAATTTGGGGGTTCTTGACAGGTATGGATCTGGCTTGGCATAAGGGATTTAGGAGAGTCTTTGCGGAGGGTGACTCCAAGGTGGCTTTGGATTTTATAAGAAAAAGGTGTGACGTAAGTCATCCTCTTTATGCTTTAATCATCCAAGCTCGTAGCATGCTTCAAAGAGACTAGATTATTAAGCTTAGTTATACTTATAGAGAAGGAAATTTTGTTGCTAATTGACTTGCTACTCATGCACCTCATCAGGATGGACAACTGATTGTGCTGGATGTCCCTCCAATAGCTTGTTTGGAATTGCTTCGTAATGACTTGAGGTGAGTTAGTCTCCCAAGATTGTGCCAAGTATTGGGATTTTTTTGATGTTGCTTTAGTTTTCATTGTATTTCCGGAAAAAAAAATTAGAATACGGATCAAAATCTTTATTAGACATTTATGTCACAAGTTGTGATTTTTACCTGACAAAATTTTACATACAACCTGGTTCGTGATTATATTATATAATTATAAAGATATATGTTAAATGGAAATGATAAATAAAATTTTAGACTAATAATATATATATATATATATATATATATATATATATATATTACTCATTTTTTTTACCCCTTTTCCCTTAGTTAAATAAATAATAATTATTTTGCCCACATCCAAAATTATATATCAATATGTCCCCTGTTAATCGATTAAATGATATACTTAATCAATTACAATAGACTCCACCTGGGAAAGTGTCCATTCTAACTTTCCAGTTACCGGCAAGCCTCACGAGTTTCTCTCTCTCACCTATTCGTTGCTCCTTCTTCTTCTCATTCATTGCAGTTTGCGGCGAAGTAATAATAAGTGGCGAGGACTATATTAATTCATTTGGGAAGCTTCTAAGATTGGAATTACCAGGCAAGCATGTCTTCCATCTTGTGATATATTTTTTGTTAATGAACTACAAGATAGAGATGTAATGTGGGTTCTTGTGGAATGTTGCTTGCAAGAGAAATTTTTTAACAATGGGTTCATCAATTAGATAAACAATTATTCTCAAACCATGTAGTAGGTATATTGAGACACCCTGATAGGGTGTCTAAAGTTTATCTAATTGATGAACCCAACACTGTATAATACATGTTAAAAAATGTCTCTTATGAGAAACATTCCACAAGAACCCGCATTACATCTCTGTCTTGTACTTCATTAACAAAAAATATATCATAAGATGGAAGGCCACATAACTTAAAGAAGAAAACTTGAAAACAAAAAGGTTGGACTGCTTGCCAGGTAATTCCAACCTTAGAAGCTTCTCATATGCATCAATATAGTCCTTGCCACTCATTATTAGTTCGCTACAAACTATAATGAATGAAAAGAAGAAGAAGGAGAAACGAATAGGTGAGAGAGAGAAACCTATAACACCTCGTATTTCTAAAACATATATTAATACATTAAAGATGGATTAAAGAGTAGGATTAGTGAAAATCCTGAAATTAAGGTCAAAATACAAAGGAAGGGTAAAACGGTAATTAGCCAAACACGTAATCCTAGGAAGGTAATATTGAGTATGAGGTCTCAAATGGGAAAACTAACCCTGAAAATGGATTCAGAATAAAAAATTGAGTGGTTAGGCAAGTTATAAATGATATATAAGACTAGGAAATATGATTTCTGATGAAAATTGATGGAAATTAGCGAGTTTGGGGAAGCGTGCCCGTGGCGCGCATAATAGCTTAAAACTGCAATTTCTTCGAACGACCGGAAAACTCCGGATTCATCTGATTAAGGGCACTTAAAGGACAATGGTTAATGTTAAAAATTAGAGTTTCTAAATAGTTTATGAACTAATGGAAGATTAGTGGTGAATTTAAGTGAGTTTAAGTGAGGTGGCACTTGTGGGGCCCACTCTCACTTAAGTGACTAAATGAGCACATGTTCAAATTCATTTTAAAACATCATCTTTCTCCTTGATTCAGCCAAAAAACGCAGCCTCCCCCTCCTCCACCATTGAAGAAAATAGTTAAAACTTGATAAATTCATAACTCAAGCTACACTAAACGAAATTGAACGATTCCAAAGCCAAAGTTGCTTGATTTTTTTCGTGGAACAAAATCTCTACCTCATT